ACTGATATTCACGTCTCAGGAACATCATACTAGAAATACACAGGGAATTCGTAACCGGTTAGGAAATTGTAATGGATTTTGCATCATATGGGATTAAACCACTATTAAACAAACAAATAGTTCTAATTATATGATTTCAGCAAATATGCCATTCCTCCCCAATGAAATAGAAGGAAATCCAATGAACGGAGTGATTATCCCACACGATTTAAGTTCATCCTCGTACAAGAGATTTTCTTTCTGGCGATACAACTATTTGCCGTTAGTCATCTTTTATATTAACAGAAGCAAACTTTAATCATTATCAAATTATGCCAAAGTCATCCAATATTGAGATTTAATCGTTTTTGGCGCAAATACTTCAAGAATTTCTATTCCAAACATTGCATCAATAATTAAATATGACAGTCGAATGGTCGTAATATTTAAGTGAAAATGATAATGAGGTAGTACTTGGGTGATAATGAAATCTTTACCTAAATATACTAAGAATTGTAAACAGAAGGCATAATACCACAAACAGTTTAATTAGGGAATGTAATTAGAATTAGAATTGAACCAATATACCAAGAATGTAATTCATTTTGCCTCAAAAGATCAATGCAAAACTCCATCGAATATTCAATATTCAATGTGTATGTTGGTCTTTGTCATGCTTGTCTTTAATTGCGACAGTTTTTTCAGTGAATGGATAGAAAAAAATCTGGCCAGTGAAGTGAGTTAATTAAAGCTTAATACATCGAATGTCACATGGCTTAATACACAGTATGTGACACCCCGAAGGATTATGTTTATAGCGAAGTGAATTTTGCATAGAATTTCATTACTAGAGCTTATTCTAATAAGATAATCGTAAATCCCAGGATCCAGTGAAGTTGTTCATTGTGATTAGTAATAATCTGAAATATACTGATGAAAGCGCTAACAATAACGCACTGAATACAGTCAAAAAAATTCGAGAAAAAATTGCTAGCGCGCCAATTTGCATTGTTGATTAGCCGGATAAACGAAAGTAAGTCAGACTTGATTTTTTCTTGGTTAACAGATCAATTTAAAATGGAGTGACACTGAGAAGAGCTGATTATGACAATGTTTATCCACAGAATGTGTTTGATAGGATGAACATTAATTTCGGTGTCAAACAAAAGTGTCCTTCTTGATGCTTTACGAAATAGGACGAATGCTATAATAATTATGGACAAACGATCAATATTTTAATATTGCCGTAATAAATATTTCAGTTTCAGAGCATACATCAATACGATAGGGTTGCCCCAAGTGTTAGTGTTTTAGGATCTGACGTAAAAGCATCGACCCTTTTAGTAGAAAAAAATGATACCAGCGATATTTTGAAAACAAGATTTAAGAAATGGAAGGTTTGATTTGTTTATTCGCTCTAATTGTTTTTTAATTTACTTCAGTTTATTCGTAATCGCTAATGTTGTGGAGTCATTTTCTCGTTAAAAGCTTGTTAATTCTCCAAACTTTTGAGGTTTGATTGCTTTTTTACGTGATTTCACGTGTTCTCAGTATTTATCAAAAATATGCTCGTTATAATTTTACTAATTGTGTAAAATTATCCTTTTTCTGCAGGAGGAATTGCTCTTCCTTAACAATCATCAAGTAATAGCCTTTCATTTTACTGTGGTCAATGGCACTGAACCGGAGGATAGCGAAGAAATATTCAGGTAGGGTATTAAAAACATTCAATGAGACATTCATGATCAGTTTCCAGAATCACATATTGGTATATTGCGGAAATGTCACAACAAAAATGGAAGAGTAAACGATTTTACTGGCTCTGCTGTTTCTCCGATCTGATAGTACTATGGATTGATTAGTGATAGACATTCTAGTACTATAATATTTAATGAGAGTAAGCGTACTATTAATAATGGTAGCATTACATACACTACTACACCAAATGAATTCAAATTTCTGACGCACTCCGAAGGCTCATGGTCACAGCCGTGCAAAAAAAAGATCAAGTGATTGACGTGAAATTGTAACTGTTATTGGATTTCCGTATTTGAATACGTCTATTCAGTTTTCGATAATTTGCAATTAATGTCATTTTTTTCTTTGCAGTAATACATTCCCAGACATTCCGCTGAGTACGTTACGTTTACTCGATAAATCATCGTTGACTGGAGTTAGCTATAAAGTTAACGAGACATTTATGAAATCAGACTTCCGTGCTGGTCCTGCATATGCCATTGTTGGTTTTCAAAAATTTGGTGGGGAAAATCCAGTTACGGAAGATCTCTCCGAGAAATATGATTAATTTCTATTATTCATTGACTATTTCATAGACACAGTTCAGATAAATCTCGATAAGTAACTCAATTGTTTTGTCAGCAGTTAGAGCCATAAAGATATTTTTATGATGATGT